TACGTGGCCCTCGTGGACTCAGTCTGGACCCCTGCTCTACGTATATCTTTCTGTACGTGGCCCTCGTGGACTCAGTCTGGACCCCAGCTCTACGTATATCTTTCTGTACGTGGCCCTCGTGGACTCAGTCTGGACCCCAGCTCTACGTATATCTTTCTGTACGTGGCCCTCGTGGACACAGTCTGGACCCCAGCTCTACGTATATCTTTCTGTACGTGGCCCTCGTGGACTCAGTCTGGACCCCTGCTCTACGTATATCTTTCTGTACGTGGCCCTCGTGGACACAGTCTGGACCCCAGCTCTACGTATATCTTTCTGTACGTGGCCCTCGTGGACTCAGTCTGGACCCCTGCTCTACGTATATCTTTCTGTACGTGGCCCTCGTGGACTCAGTCTGGACCCCTGCTCTACGTATATCTTTCTGTACGTGGCCCTCGTGGACACAGTCTGGACCCCAGCTCTACGTATATCTTTCTGTACGTGGCCCTCGTGGACTCAGTCTGGACCCCAGCTCTACGTATATCTTTCTGTACGTGGCCCTCGTGGACTCAGTCTGGACCCCTGCTCTACGTATATCTTTCTGTACGTGGCCCTCGTGGACACAGTCTGGACCCCAGCTCTACGTATATCTTTCTGTACGTGGCCCTCGTGGACTCAGTCTGGACCCCAGCTCTACGTATATCTTTCTGAACGTGGCCCTCGTGGACACAGTCTGGACCCCAGCTCTACGTATATCTTTCTGTACGTGGCCCTCGTGGACTCAGTCTGGACCCCAGCTCTACGTATATCTTTCTGTACGTGGCCCTCGTGGATTCAGTCTGGATCCCAGCTCTAAGTATATCTTTCTGAACGTGGCCCTCGTGGACTCAGTCTGGACCCCTGCTCTACGTCACCTTGAAGTTGCTGGAGTTGACCCAGGAGCTGGCCACAGCGTCCACCACGCGGTCCACCAGGCTCTGGTCCTGCTCCAGGTCGGGGCTCCTCTGCTCCGACAGGATGACCTCTGTGACCTCGGGGCCGACCTTGACCCTGACCCCCAGGTCCTTCTGCAGCACCTGCTCCAGCAGAGCCTCCATCTGCACCTCCTCCGTCATCTCTCTGAGGAACAAACAATACAGCTTCATTTAAAAACCTCCAGACCGAGGGTCTCATGCCTGACCCCAGTCTGTCTGAGTGAGCTTTGGTGGAGCTCATTAGAAATCACATCAGGTGGGAATACGATGCGCTCTCTATTGACTCGTGTATTTTAGCAGGGGACTCTCACATTTTGCAGGTCCTGGATCAGCTGCAGATCTTCAATCTTCGCTCGTCATCCTCCTGCATTCAACAGGAAACAGGTGAAGAGTTTAACAGGTGACTTTAAAATAACTGAGACGTGTAGCTCAGCAGAAAGACAGTTTGACCCTGATTTATTAAACAACATGCTGTGTTTCTTTTAATTCATGTGTTTCACAGCATTTGTAAACTATAATACTGTTGGAGGACACATTTTTTATCATGGGTCTGCACTTAAAAACATCTTATTGTTATGTAGTTTCTCTTGTGTATTTGATTTAGATGTAATCCTAGAGAGTAATCAGAGTATTCAGGGTTTTTTGGGGTAGTTTTTCTTATTTTTTCTCTTCTTTCCCTGCGTTTTAGTTAATGCACCACACACCCAGCTATCCGCCTGCTCTGTGTGAACCTACTCTGTGTATGATGCTCTGATTTTAATGTGAAAACCCCTCATGTAGGAGCTTTAGCTTCCTCTGCTAGCTCCCTGTTAGCCAGCCTCCAATGAAAACACAGAGTGTGATCAAAGTGATAGCCGCCGCCATCATCAGAGAGCAGCACCGCCACAATGCAACCAATCAGCAGCCGCTCCTATCACTCATGAGTCATTGATCCAGAGAGCCACTCACCGGATGATCCCAGGAAAAGATCCGAAAAGGAGACGCTTCCTCCGGCCACAAAGTACCGTTACTCGCCGACAATAACTCACTTTCTTCTGGGCACTTTGGACCACTTTTACTCCTCCGCACGCGCTGGAAGAACCCCAAACATCCAGCGAGTGGTCACGCGGTATTCTTGGTGGTTTAAGAGGTTAAAAAGGCCCTTTATTTCCCTGATAAATCCCAGCATGTCGGTGGATAAACTGCAGTGAGTGACGCCGCAGAAAAGCGACCCCTGGCGGCAGCACTGCGCTACTGCACCCGCTGCAAAATACAATTTCTTCTTCTGTGCTTTTACTCACTAACTCTGGGTGTGCATAGCGCCCCCTGTGGTTGGAGGGCGTAGAGTCATGGTTTTATTTTAAATAAATACTTTATTTTCAACATTAGATGTTACACAGGTCCAGTTTAGTAACTCTTACATTAAAAGTAAACAATGTTATAGCAGATTAGGGATCCTAAACGCCCCGGATATCTGTCTATTTCCTTGTAAATGTGAAATTTAAGAGAATAAATCATTAAAAATAACACATTTGAATAGACTTATTCACATATATGTTATAAGACTCTTTGTTGTCATTTCATGTCTTCTACAGGTCAAACTGTGTCCTACTCTCTTTAAGGTCATTTGTTTACTTTTGAAGTCACTATGTGTGTCTTTAAAGTACTTTAAGGTCCTTCTGTCTGTATAATATATCATTTTGAGGTCATCATGTGTCTTTTTTGGGGTTGTTTGCCATCTGTTCGTGGTTATTCAAGGTCTTTTTAAGTCCTTTAATGTACCTTTGTCATTTTTGTACTTTTTAAGTCACTATGTGTGTCTTTGATGTTGTTTAAGGTCCTTTTGTATGTATTATCTTTGAGAGGTCATAATAATACATGTTTAAGTCATATGTATTTTTGGGGTTGTTTTCCATCTGTTTGTGGTCATTTTACGTCATTTTCAGTCATTTTATGTACCTAAGGGGTCATTTTGTGTCTCTTAATGGTCACTTGTGTACTTTTTAAGTCACTATGTATATATCTTTAATGTTGCTTAAGGTCCTTTTGTCTGCATAATATGTGTTTCTGAGGTCATCGTGAGTCTGTTTGGGGTCCTGTTGAGTGTCCTTGTGGCCCCTGAGTGCATCCTGGGTAATGCGTGGGTGCTTCCCTGTCAGCTGCAGGTGCTTCTGCTGCTCTCTGAAACGTCTCACTCTCATTTCGGGAACGTCTCACTCTCCTCCCTGCAGCCGCGATGACAACAACGATCGTCCACTTCCTGGTGAATGGGAGGCCGGAGCGCGCCGAGTTCAGAGACGACTGCTCCGCCGCAGAGGTCAAAGGTGAGGCTGCTCTTAATGCAGATTGAAATGCATGTGATCTGTATTCAAACATGCATTGAAATCATCTGTTAGAGGAGAATGAGCATCGTGTAGCTGTGGCCTCGAGAGGGTCTGCGTGTGACAGCTCCTCTTCAGGTGAGGAACAGCTGAGAGAGACTGACAGTAGTTCCTTCTTTAGATCTTTTTATTTGGGTTTTCCTGCAACACCTACAATATTGCTTTAGAATTAGTTGAAGCCTAAACTTCAGCAACACTCAAATCTAATCACCTTCAAAGTGTGAAATCCAGCTGACAGTATTTCTACCAGAGAGGAGTGTTTGACATCCTTTACTCAAGTAGAAGTACACACATCCTTTACTCAAGTAGAAGTACACACATCCTTTACTCAGGTAGAAGTACACACATCCTTTACTCAGGTAGAAGTACACACATCCTTTACTCAGGTAGAAGTACACACATCCTTTACTCAAGAGAAGTACACACATCCTTTACTCAGGTAGAAGTACAGATACTCATAAGGATAGAACATATTCAGGTATTTATTAACACAATTGTATTACTTATTATACATAGTAAGTATATACAGTATACGGTAGCGTGTATAAGTAGTGTGTCTAACTTGATGATTACACCATTGCAGTTCCGGACTGTGGCCACAAGAGAGCGCCAGAGCTCCATCTCTGAACCATAGACTGCTTTGATAACTAACTTTGTTTCACCTTAGCTAGCGTGGA